TAAGTCACCTTTGTACCTTATTCGTGGTTCCTGGTGGCCTCGAGTCAAAGATCAAGCTGGTTAATCCTCATGATGTCTCTCCCCACAATCATATTACAAAGGAAGCCCTTGAAAATCAAGCAAGAATGCTTTCGGATCAATTTCGAGAAAGGGGAGCAACGAAGGATACTTTATTTCTCGCTCCTTACTGCCAAGGGTGAGTTGTTAATATTTGTTACGAGTAAATATTTTTTATATTTATTTGTTTGGTAACATATGCTGTTTCTTGTTAAGGGACACTAGATGCTTATTGTGGTTAATCCTGTTGCTCCAAAAATATGGTATCTCGATCCCCTTAATGGAGAGCCAAGCAATAGGGAAGATATGGTGGTACTTTTTAATGAGTAAGTTAGATTTTTTTACTTGTTATTTCTTTTTATTTTTAGTTTTCATTCATATATATTTCTCACATTCATTTCATACTTCCTTCTTAGAGCTGTAGTGTTGTATCGCACTACGACCGATATGACTGTGTCCCCTAAGATGAGGGCATTCGAATCTTCAGAGAAATGGGTTACTGTTAAGGTATTCATTCAATTGGTCAAGTTTTTAATCAAGAAACTGTATCATTATATTTTACAATTTCATTGATATGTGTTTTTTTTACAGTGTGCATTCCAGCCAAATCAGAGCAATGACTGTGGTTATTGTTTGATGAAGTTCATGAAGGACAGTATCACTCATGCCCCTACCACATTATCTGACAAGGTATATATATAAAATTTAATTACACTTCAATTATAAATTTTAAACAATTTTAATTAGCTACCTATTAACTTGAAATTGTTGTGACTATTTACTTACAGTACTTCAAGGACGTCTATTGCGTTCGTTACACGGCTGCACATGTAGAAGAGGTCCTTGAAGAGGTGGCCCAATGTGTTTTTAATATGTGGGTAGCAACAGTAGTTAGGTCGGTACAATAGTTAGTTACATTTATATACACATTTTTTGGTCCAATTTTTACGGGATATGTCACTTAGTTTTGGAACATTAGTTTGCAGATAAGTTGAGTATAGAATTTTTAGAATTTAGGTTAAATGTATAGGAATTTTTATGTTAATTAGATAGGAGATACTATTATAAACATTCATTATATTATATTATTTTTGTTGTTGGCTGGCTGGTTTTTATCTTTATCTATATCTTTATGCAGGGGGGCTACTTTAAAAGCAGCCATGATATTTAAAAAAATTATGCCATAAATACTTGACGGTTATTTCAAAATAACTGTCAAGTATCAATATACTTGACGCTTGTTTCAAAACAAGCGTCAAATATTTATAAATACTTGACGGTTATAAGGAAACAAGCGTCAAGTATTTATGGCCAAACAAACTAGCAGGTTTTGGCAAGCGTCAAGTATTTATGGCCAAACAAACTAGCAGGTTTTGGCCATCAATACTTGACGCTTGTTTTCTTATAACCGACGCTTGTTTCCTTATAACCGTTAAGTATTTACAAATACTTGACGCTTGTTTTCAAACAAGCGTCAAGTATTTATTCTGGAAAATGCATATTTAGTTCATATACTTGACGGTTTTTTTCAAATAACCGTCAAGTATATGATTAATACTTGACGGTTAAAAACTGTCAAGTATTATTTCTTTAATATATGTCGCACCCTTATTTGAAGGTTAAAAATTGTCAAGTATTGTAAAAAATAAGCATTAAATATGGGTATTTTTTGTGGTAGTGATATTTGAAATGGAAATATTCCAAGTCAACTTAGAAATCTCTCACAAATTGCAGTATCTTGATCTCTTAGAAAATTATGCTAGAGGAGAAGTACCTTATTAACCTAGGAATCTCCCACAATTACAACATCTTGATTGCTCATCCAATCAACTTGTAGGAGTGATGCCTTACCAACTTGAAGGTCTCTCACAATTTCAGCATCTTGATCTCTCATGGAATATTCTTGTAGGAGAAATACCTTATTAATTTGTCAACCTTTCAAACTTGAAAAAGTTTTTTCTTAGCTATAATGGCCTGGTTCTCTCAAAATTGACCAAAAGAATGGTGGTGGGGGTGAGTGACTCTCTAGTCTCACTAATTTGACCCATCTTAAGTTAGAAAACATAACCAATTTCAAATATTTTCACAAATGGCTAAAAATGATTAGAGAGCTACCGAGTTTAATAGAATTGATGCTACCTGATAATGATATTCTTTCATATTGGTATGTAGTTAATGGCTTATTAAGTTGATAATAAATATTAAGAACTCAAAAAATAAAATAGGTTATTCAATTGAACACTCGTGGTTTAATCGATTATTGCACACGTCGATGATAAATTTAAAACCCAGAAACACTGCACTGAGACAATTAATCAAAAAACTCACTCAATTTGAAATTGATGGATCCATGTGATGACAATGGGGAAAAAAATTATGAACCACGGCCAGCTATATAAATGCCAACATGAGGCTAGCTAGAAGGTCCCACCTAATAAAATATATATTTATATTCTACTGTTCAACTGAGCCTAGAAATTACAAAAAATGGAAAAGATATCGATCCCAAACAGCAAGGCTTCATAATCTAGGCTTCATAACCAAGTCAGCAAATTCATTCTCAGGATAAAACTCTGCCACTATTGGATTTTCCCATCATAAGTTCGTCCACTCAATTGAGCCCGTGCTATTGTTGCACCATCCACGTCAGCATACTCCAAAAAGGACCAGGGGTCTCTCCTTTTTTTTCTCTCCCTTTCCCTCCACTTCCCCCATCTCCACCATTCAAATTTTTTTATTAAACAATTTTTTTAAATAAAAAAAATTAATGAATGGTGGGGATGGGGGAAGTGGAGGGAAATGGAGAAAAAGGAAGTGGAGAGACCCCACTTCCCTCCAAAAACACCTACATGTACATATATATATATATATATATATATGTATATAGGCTGCGTTAATAATTGATAGGCAATACCAAAAAGAAGGAAAAACCATAACACCAAACAATCAAACTCTATTGATAACTCGGGGTTTCAACAGTTGCCAACCAGCAAGGCACATCTTATAGTGCTTGTTTGGTTTCACATTTGAAAAACTCAAGCTTATATATATGTTTGAACCAATCCATCTAGACGCATGCTTTGCCATTAATTAATGTGTATCATAGCTCAAAACACCAATTAAACAAACACACCCAACAAGTTTATGCAGTCAGTGGGGGCAAAATGTGTACTTAAAATAAATATTAATATATTTTTGAAATAATATTTTAAATATGTATTAAATTAAATTATAGATAAAATTTATTAGAAATTCATAAAACATAAAATTATAAAAATATAAATGTCTTTACACAACCAAACTTTTCATAAGTATTAGAAAATAATACTTTCTTTAATTTTATTATTTATTAAATAAATTTATCTACTTTCCTTTGTATAATATAGAATTTTTTTAGATAAAATTTTTTATTCAAGCAATTAGATCAAGAAAGATATTTTTTAAATTATGTCCCCCTAAATTCTAAAACTATTTTTATTAAGTTTATTATAAAATAGATAAGTTCTCAGATAGATTTTAGGGACACGAGTCGAAAATTTTAGGGAGACAAGTGACTTTTTTTAAGATGAGGACGATTGAAAATTTTTAGGTACGCAGATCTATCCTTGAGTTTATGCATTGTAAAGCTGAGTTTCTAGAAGCCAGCACGTAACATTGATTTGCATAGTGTTGATATAATTATATCACCCAAACATTTTATAGTATATATGTGATGTAAAGGACATTCAAATGCTAGAATTTGTACTAATCAGCACCAAGAGACTACCGTTGTTTATAAAACAGACAAAACTTAAGTCCATTTGCTTATAGAAGAACGCACTGAATAATGAATAGATCTATTGAACATACCTCTCCAACTCCAGGTGGTGATGGTTCCCAATTTGGTCGGGGCCGAGGTATCACAACATTAACCAATGTACCTGCAGATGATAAATAAGAAGTGGTTAATTACGTGCAGAGAAAAAACAAAATTACTAAATATATTCTGGAAATCAAGTAATATTGAAGATTATTGATGGAAGATGGAGGCTTCTGTCTTTATGTGTCAGGCCTGATGGTCATGATGTGTGAATACAATTGTAGCTGTAAAACAAAGAAATAAAAAAAAAAATATTACTATATATGAATATAATAGCCAGCAGAATTAAAGAGAGACAAGCAAACTAAACCAGTCATTACCATATTTGGATCCCTCTCTTCTCATATCATCTACAATCTCTTCATAGTCCTTATCATCTTTCAGATCAGCAGCAGATACAGCCTGACTTATACAAACAACCTTCGTTGCTACTAGCTCTGGCTGAAGCGTGAGTCTCTGTGGAATTTAATAAACACCAATCAGTTTAGAATACAAAAAAGTTGGGATAATACAACTTTTAGTCCCTCAAGTTTGTTATAAATATCAATTTGGTCTCTCAAGTTTAATTTTTATCAAGCTAGTTTCTTAAATTTATTTTGGTTATCAATTTGATCCTTAATGTTTAAAAATGAGGTTGCACTATTAAAATTTGCTTATACGAATAATAGAATATGTATGGAAGCCATGTAGATTAATAAAATGAAGTATAATCACTTACATAGAAAAAAAATAGTCTCTATTTTAAAAAACAAGAGAATAAAACATCATGTAAAAGATTATATTGATAAAAATTGAACTAATTTTATACTTAATTTATTTTTATTTAACTACATATACATATCAAGTTATCAATATACTTTACATATTAAATTATTTAAAAATTAAATTCGTGTTTTAAAACTTAAAGGACTCATATAATGATTTAATAAAATATAAGGGATCAAATCAATAAAAATTAAACTTGAGGGATTAAATTGATAATAGAGACAAACTTAAAGAATAAAAGATACATTATCCTGAAAAAGTACAAGCAAACACAGAATATTTGGTAATAGACATACTTATAGCAGTGAATTCAATAACATCAAATACGTAGCTGAAGTCCGTGAGTTAATCTGCTTTTTTGCTCAGGTTTTGGTGCTCTTCTACGCATAAGAGTCTTATCTCCAAATTTTACAGCACAAGCAGTATCCGGTACCACAGGATCTTGATAAACACACAGTGCATAACCGTTTGAAATTCCTGTATCTCTATTTTTCACCAATTCAAAGCCCCGAAGTGGACCAAAAGTCTCTAGAAGTGCCCTGATCTCTGCTTCGCTAAAGCAATCAGGAATACCATCCACAAATAAACTATCAGGACCATCAAGTCCATCAGCAGTAGATATAGCCTGGCTTGAACTAGCAACCTTCGACTTCGTTGCTGCTAATTCTTGCTGAAACATAACTCTGTAAGGAAGTTAATAAACATCAATCAGTTAGGATATGATCAAAAAAACACAAACCAAGAATATATTTGATAAGAGAATGTCATCGAATACCTGCAGTGCAGGTTTTGGCTGGTTTTCACCTTGATTAGCTTGTCTGACACTAAGAGTCTTATAATCTCCGGATTTTATTCCATTCAGAGCAACACAAACAATATCTGTAACTGCAGGATCTTGACATACACAGCATGCGTAACTCTCTGAGTTTCGAGTATCTCTGTCTTTCACCAATTCAAAGCCCCGAAGTGGACCAAAAGTCTCAAGAAATTCCCTGATCTATGTTTCTGTAATGTAATCAGGAAGACCACTCACAATTACAGCATCAGCACCATCACAATTCTTCTTGTTAAGAGCCATTTGCATTGATATCTTCGTCAAACCGATTTTCTTTCAATTGCTCACGTACTCCTTGCATTTCATCGCTTTCTTGACCTCTATTTATAGAGGCTAGAGGATTGTTTTGACTTTTGAGATAAGATATTTAGAAAATCTAACAATGATATTAATTAATCTTGATCTTGATCTTTTTAACCAGAAATCTTTATCTTGATAAAGATATTATTTATTTAATATCTTGAGATAATATTAATTGGGATATTGCTTATTTGTTTAGTTTATCGGAGATGGAGATATTTTAAGATAATTCAATGATATAGTGATTTTTATCATTTTCCTATCTCCTTTAATTTCTTTTGAATTTTTTAGAGGATAATGTGTTATAGATTTTCTAGAGGATAATTTCTAGAGGATCATTTTCCTAACTTCTTTAATGATATAGATTTTGTTTTATCCACTTAAAAATTCAAGCATGCAGAATAATCTTTAAAGAAGTTTTGACCCTCTAAATTTTTTCATCGCTTACCTTTTTTTATTTGTTATTGTTATTATTTTTATCTCTATTTTTATTTAAATAAATAAAATAAATATGGTTTTCACAATTTTCATTGTGTTGCAATAGGATTCTTGCAATCTAGTGAACCATGATCCTAAATCGTGATTCAACTGATCATGAATAATTATATTTTAAAAATAAATAAATTTGTATAATAATAAAAATAAATGGTTAATTTTTAAACAAAATTGTATATAGTAAAAATAATATTAACCAGAGAGGGGGGCCAACCTTGCCCTCTTAACGGCGAAGTTAGCGTGAGAGAAAGAGTGTGTCACGAAGGACCAACAAGAATTAATTTTTTCTAAGGTTTTTAGTTTTTCAACATTATATGTAATTATACATAATTTATTATTTAATTTATTTTTATTCTATAAATTATTTGTTATAAAAAATATTCTAAAAATTTAATTAATTATTAAAAATTGGCCCTCTTAACTTGAGAGGTAGGGTCCGCTTCTGAGCATGATTAATAGAGGCTCTTGTCACTTAAATAAGTTATTAGAAGTTTGAATTTTAATATTTATGTATGTTCCAATTTAGTTGGGAGTTGGTCTACCCATACTACTTTCACTAGCTCCCTTTGATAGTTCTACAAAATTAATATTTGTAGTATGAAAACATTTTGAAAACACATGGAGAGCAAAATATTGTTTCCAATATAATTAAAAAGAAATATAAAATGCAAAAACACTTCGAAAAACCAGTACATATTCCTCCTTATATCCAAACATGAATACACACTAATTTATTTCCTAATATTTTGAGAACCTTCACATTGTTGGCCCATTTTCCATTTTAAGTATGTTTCCACACTGTCAAATCCACAAAGTTCCTTCACCACAGGCATGGTTGCTGGCACATCCAATTGGAATGGTTTATCAATTTCTTTTGAGCTGCTCCATGAATGAAGCTGTTTTCTGGCTTCCTTGATAGCTCTTCTAGTTGTTGTAATTATTGTGTGAGTATGACAAAAGATAAATCTCCATTGACCACATGAGAGGAGAGGTCTCACCAATTTTTTGAAAATATCTTTGATAAAATTCAAAAATATTTATTTAAAAATGTTTTTTCAGAAAAACCTTCATTTATTTTACTTTAAATTCAAATTCAAATAATAAATTTATGTTCCTTAATTACCTTGGCACAATACGTTACTCCCATTTAACTTTTAACTATCAAATCTTAATATGGTTATAAACTTATTCACACGTCCAAAAACGTTCAGATTTAATGCCATTTTATTTTGTCCAAATGGTGGAGTAATAGCAATTTATTTCCTTAATGCATTGGAAATATGAGGATTCTCTTCAAGACTATTTATCATATTAGATGATTCAAAGCTTCGGCGTCCAAAAACTGTCCCATCAATGGCTTGTTTTAATAATATTTTATTCTTTGAATGGTGGGTTAATGCTCCTTAATTTTGGCTTCAACGGTACTGTGGAGTATATATCTAGAAATAGCAGTGTGCATGCATGAGACCTGTGCGAAACATTTCTAGTTCTTGGGCACTTCTCTTCCTCTCTTGTGTCTTACTTCTTGAGTTTAATTTTTCCTCTAAATTATTTCTATTATTCTGCCACCCTATCTATTTTACATGATGGTTCTACTTAATCCTAGAGAGCTCCGACAATTATGCCGGAATTGCTCTTAAAGACAATGTCCTTAGGCACGATTCGAAATAAAATTTACACTGCTACTGCCAATAACTTTAAGAGCAATGGAGCATGTTGAACAACATGTTATTCCTGAGGGTGTGAATGTTGCAATTGGTTCCAGTGGTGGTGGCTCCTATATTTCAATTGCATGCCCTTACCTAAGCCGTTCCCAAACATCTCTAAAATTGAAGTGTTTGATGGGAAGAATTTCAAAAGATGGCAGGAATGAATATTTACTGTCATTGACATGCACGAATTTGTTGCTGCTCTAACCTAAATCGAGCCCCCTGCAGATGCTTCTTAAGCCCAAAAAGATGTTTGGATGTATGCAAAGAAGGTATGTAGACATACCATAATCAGTTCTTTATCTAATGATTTGTTTGATGTCTACTATGTGTATAAGGAGGCCAACAAAATTTGAGAGTCTCTCATCAATAAGTACATTGTCGAAGATGTTGGGAAATAAAAGTTTATAGTGGGTGACTACTATAAGTAAGAGATGGAAGATGACAAAGATATCAAGTTGTAGATTAATGAGTACCATAAGTTGCTAGAGGAACTACGTGCTGAAAAGATCAATCTACCAGATGATTTCATGGCCGGCGTCTTGATTGAGAAGCTGGTAAGTTCATGGAGTGACTACAAACAACAACTTAAACATAAGCAAAAGCAATTATCATTGTCTTCTTATATCCCTATCAAGGAAGGTGAAGATCAAGTTTACCTTGCTGACTCTCAAACTACAAAAGTTCAAGGGAAGGGGAAAGTTGATCTTAAGCTCACATTTGAAAAAGTGTTGTCTCTCAATGATGTCCTATATGTGCTCGATATTAGAGCAAATTTGATTTCTGTGGTTCTACTCGCAAAGGTTGGGTTTAAAGTGTCATTTGAATTTGATAAGATTATAATGACAAAAAATAATGTATTTATGGGAAAGGGCTATTGTAACTAGGGACTATTTGTGCTGAGTGTTATCGATGAAATGAATAAGAATGCCTCCTCTTCTTATTATTCTTATGTTTATATGGTTGATTCTTGTGATTTATAACATTCTAGGTTAGGTCATGTTAGTAAAGGTTATATAATAAAAATGCAACATCTTGGATTAATTTCTAAAATTAAAGATAATGATTTAAATAAGTGTGAAGTATGTGTAGAAACTAAGCAAATTGAAAAATCTCATTTTTCTACTCAAAGAGAAACGCAGTTACTATCTTTGATACACATTGATTTAGGAGATTTAAAACAAACAATGACTAGAGATGATAAAAATTATAATATTACTTTTATCGATGATTGTGAACATCATATTTTATCTGGGTCCTAATAAGTAAACAAGATAATATCCATAGTAAAATAAATAAAAAACAAAAATAATAAGAATAAAAAATAATAATATTTTACAACAAGAAAATATATATATATATATATATATATATAAAGTTGGGTACAAAGATAATAAAAAAAATTCAAGCTAGATCACAATATAATAATTGAAATAATCAAAATATAATATAATATAATTTGAAGATTTCAAGATAATCTAATGTCTAACATTAAGATTTGAAGATTTCAAAACAATATAAAAATCAGGATATAATAATAGAAAAGATAATAATTAATATCCAATCTCTAAATAATGGTAATAATAATATAATAATAATATATAAAATGCTAATGTTGATCACGATAGGATAGAGATATTAGAGAAACTTAAATGAATGGGTCTATATAAAGGAAAGTAAAGGTGGAGCATAGCCAGGTAGAGAAAGACTCAAAGAAATTGTGTGACAAAGATTGAAGGAAGGAAGAAAAGAGGAGACAACAAATATCCAGTTATTTAAGATTTATAGAGGTTAATCTACTTTCTTTCAAGCCATAGATGTATTTGTATCCTTTAATAGTTATCTTTATATGAATATTATCTTATAAACCCTGACTGTATCTCATTTTGGGTAATCTACATTCATCTCATACTTTTATCTTCATGCATGGTCCCTTGTACGTTGGAGGAAATCATCAATTTACTCTTGGGAAAATCACTTATTTGGCCCTTAGTTTTGATGTGTAATATTAATTAATTAATTTGGTATACATGTGGATAAATTATCAACATGTACATCTATAAAACTTATATCATTTTGATTGCTTGAGACTTTTAAAGTCCTTGCAAATTTTATCAATTAATTAATTTATCTTACACAGCGATAAATTGTCGCATGTACATAATTTTGAAATTATCAGTTGCGTGAGACTTTCAAAGTCTTTGCAAATTTATAAATCAAATAACTTATCTTACGCAGCGATAAATTATCATGAGTACATTTTAAAATATTTTATCCTTAATTAAAATAAAAGGTTTTCCTAAAATAAATTAAAATAAATTATATTTGAAAGATTGATTTGGATAGATGAAATTTTCATTAATCTGATCAAAATGTTTTTCCAAGATTATCTCTCAAAATTTTCTCACAAATAAAGAAATAAAATATCTTCTTAAATAAAAACTACAAACCAACGCTAAAAATTTTTTAATAAAAAAATTAATAATTAATTTTTTCTTAAAAAATTCCCAACGAACTAACAAGCATTTTTACCCCAAACTACGTGGGCTTTGATCTCTCAAAAGGGTACATAAACTTCAGGGTTTTATCCTAGTCAAGTCCAACTTATAAATAAATAAAATTTTTTCTTTTTAATTTTCTTACTTTTTATCTTATTTTTAAGGATAATTAATATTTTAAGGCCATTTAAATTTATATAGTTAACTTAAGGCAACTATTCACATGAATGAGTGTTATGGG